GCCCTCGGGTGGTTTTGGGAGGCTGGTACTTCCTCGGGCGAAAAAGCAGTTTTCCGGAACTCGTTCAAAAAGTCTCCTTTACGAACCTTGTTACGTCCCTCGCCTTCGGCTTGGGCCGCAAACCTCTCGGTTCGCAAACAGAGACTTTTCAAATTCGTAGGAAAATTACTATTTTCGCCCTTGGGTGGTTTTGGGAGGCTGGTACTTCCTCGGGCGAAAAAGCAGTTTTCCGATACTCGTTGGAAAAGTCTCCTTTACAAACCTCGTTACGGACCTCGCCTTCGGCTTGGGCCAACCTCTTGGTTCGCAAACAGAGACTTTTCAAACTCGTAGGAAAACTACTATTTTTACCCTCGCATGATTTTGGGAGGCTGGCACTTCCTCGGGCAATAAAAGCAGTTTTCCGATACTCGTTCGAAAAGTCTCCTTTACGAACCTCGTTACGGACCTCACCTTCGGCTTGGGCCAACCTCTCGGTTAACAAACAAAGACTTTTCAAACTCGTAGGAAAACTACTATTTCGCACTAGTGTGCGGAAAATACGTGTTTCCCGCACTGATATTAGTGCGGAAAAGCGACTTTCTCACATAGTGTGAGGAAAATATTTTCCGCATAATGTGCAGAAAAACTTTTACCGCACACCGTTTCCTCACATTGTGCGGAAAATATTTTCTGCACACTATGTGTAAAAATCAATTTTCCACACTAATATCAGTGCAGAAAACACGTATTTTCCGCACACTCTTGTGAAATAGTAGTTTTCCTACGAGTTTTAAAAGTCTTAGTTTGTGAACCGAGAGGTTTGCGGCCCGAGCCGAAGGCGAGGTCCGTAACGAGGTTCGTAAAGGAGACTTTTTGAACAAGTATCGGAAAACTGCTTTTCTGCCTGAGGAAGTACCAACCTCCCAAATTCACCCGAGGGTGGAAAAATAATTTTATTGATCCAATAGTGCGCAATGTAATTACTTGTGATACAAATAATAAAAATACTACTATTACACTGCATTCTACACAGCGATCAGTTGTGTTTGTCCTGCCTATAGCGTTTCGTCTCTTGGCCACCTGCGGCGCTGAGATTAATGCGAACATAGCCGATAACAACAACAAAAAAACTGTAAAACTATTTCATTTTTTTAGGAAAGTACACCCATTCCTTCGTTTTTTCTTTGTTCTTTTTATTTTGAATACTGGTGCTACGCACTCGTGTGCTCAACTGGCACTCGTTCCCGTTAACTCCAGCCACTCGTGCGAGTCAATCACGACTCGTGCGGGAAATTACAGATTACCAGAGAACTAAAGGGAGTACCAAGAGGACTTAAGGTGGCTCCAGCGCCTAGTGCCGTATCAAAATGGGGAGACTAAAAATTAATCATTATTTTCTGTAAAATATGGTATAAAATTATCGTAGACTGTTGTAAGCCATATTCTACATTTTATCTGTTACTTTAGTGAGTAAATATAAAAAAACAAAAAAGTTTTATGGTGACCCAATTGATGAACTGTTACGGTAAGCTCCTGAGTTCAAGAATGTGGCAACATTGCTCAGCTGTAGTCATACCTACATATATGGACTCTGCGGAATGCAGACAGCTGAGAGCTGACTTGCACTCGCAAGCACTTAGTCTCAAATTATTTGAAGATTTTGTTCAATAACAAGACACTTTTTTCATGTCATCGAAAACTACGTGATAATATATACAAGATAGTATATTTCTTACACCTTACCGGTTATTTATATAAGTGCAGCGGTAGGTTGTAAAAACTACGATTTTGTAAGCATGATTTTTCACAATTTTCATCGTCAACCTTAATTTTTTTTTTATACGAATAGAAAGATGGGAATTCAAAGAAAAAAATTAAATTTTATTAACCTTGGTTGCGTTATTTATTATTTTAATATTGAGGCCACTGGAGCCACCTTAAATAGAACCATGAGTACCACAGTGAGAATTCAAGAGGACCAAAGTAAATTAGAGAAAACTACGACAACGATATAAATCGTGAAAGTAAGGTTACGAAGTAGATTAGTAACTTAACAGTTTTTCCATGGATTAATTGATAAAATAATCTCATTGGTGAGCAAACATCATTGATAAAAAATTACAAATTTTTAGTAAATTTGAATTAAAATAACTTCTTTGGCGAGTAAGCTTCGGTGATTAGAAATCCAACAGATTTTTAGTGGATTTATAATTCAAATAATTTATTTGGCGAGTAAGCTTCGGCGATTAAAAACCCAACATATTTTCATTAAATTTACGCATAAAAAAAAATTGTTGGCGAGTAAGCATCGGTGATTAGAAACCCAACAGATTTTTAGGGCATTTGTAAATAAAATCATCCCTTACATTCAATAAAAAATTATTGGTTTTCTTATCACCCATGCTTACTCACCATAGAGATTATTTTGCTATTCAATTCCCCGGAAAGCTATTGGATTTCTTATCGTCGATTTTCACTCGTTTAAGAGATTATTTTATTAATAAATTCATTGGAAATTATTAGGTATTGAATGGGCCATGCTTACTCGGCCAAAACCAGATATTATTAATACTTCAACTGATAAACTATTGGGTTTCTTACCGCCGTTGCTTTTTGTTCTAAGAGACTATCCTCACACTAGTCCTCTCAGTACTCCCAGAGTCCTCTATACACTTTTGATGAGAGTACTGGAGAACATTGACAGACGTAAATAATAAATACTTTGCTGATACATCTGTAGTTGTTTAGTTTTTGGCTGCTTATTTTTTTAAAATAATTATGTGTAAGCATTATAATACTTGAATTTTGTGTCGTGTTAATTAATAATAATTGTGTTATTGTTTCTGTAGTGGACTACGAGACGTAAAAATAAATTTATTTGACTCGTTTCATTAATTATAAAAAAAACTCTTGTACTATTAAGAAAAATATACTAAAAATATTCTTATATATACATTATTTTAATATCAGACATTTTTAAATACACTTACTGTGGAAAAAAAAATTTATATTTTTAGTTAATGTGTTGTTGGTGTAAGGAGAAAGACAGTAAAGGATCACGTATACAGGATCAAATTTTTGTTTTTCAGCTTACGGGCGCCACTCGAGATTTTTGCAAGGTCCAAAATCACGCGTAATTATGCAAAAGAAAGTCACCAATGGACAAGTTGTTTTTTCGTTTTCCATTATTGTCTCAAATTTTTAACGGTTTTCATCAATAAAAATAAAAACTAAGAATACATAAGCATTTATTGTAAAAATAAGAAAATTTAGCGCTTTTTAGAAATATAGCATTGCAAAAATAAAGTTCTTTAATAACCAAAAAAGACCTTCATTGATAGGACACTTTCTTACGAATAATTTTGCTTCCACAGTTTGTTTAATCAATATGAAAGAGGATAAAAGCTAAAATGTAAGAGAAATAGTATTTATTTACAGTTTGTTCAAGGAGGTTTGGGAGACAAGTTGAATGTTGAATCATGCTAAAAAAATTAATGTTATATTTCAGCATAATAGAAGTACACAAACGTTTTTTCAGATTTCTTACCAGGGACATTTTTGGTAAAAAATCATTAAATATTGACAGTTTAACACGTTCTCTGATGATAGAACAAGGCTAGATTCTCTTTTAATTGACATTTAGGTACATTATAAATGTGTTAGAATGAAAAAACAAATTCTTATAAATAACTTAATACAAAAGGAAGATTTTTAACAAATACATCAAGTTGTACCAGACATTTTCCATAAAAATAATTGATTAGAGTCGTACAGTTTCAAGTTTGTTGGATGCAAGAGGGGGTGTGCCGTATGTAAATGGGGTGCATCGACGCGGGCCGGGAGGACTCCCCGTTCCTCATCTCTCTGAATGATACTCCCAAACCTTTTAAACAACAATTGATGCTGACGCCTTAATTGGACACAACTATTTTTCCTAATAATTAGAGTGGATTTTCAAGCAATTGAAATAATTTTAGTTTAGATGGCAGAAATTCCGTTATTTATCATTTTTTGTGTATCAACTACTGGTTGTTTCCAGTAGAATGGAAATTCGCTGAAAAATTACCCACTCCTTCGTTCATTCTTAGTCATTTTTATTCTGACACATTGTTTGTATAATAATAAAAAATAATTAAAAATGTGTATCATTTTCAGCGCAACCCTTACAGTACATTAGACTTTATTTATACTGATTTTTATGAAAGCTAGTATATGTGCGTACGAGAATTTAAGGGGGGGGGTGTAAACATTGTTCATTATTGTTGAAGAATGAGTCAAATGACTGAATAAAATGTAATACAAAAAGCGTCTGCACACAGACCATATAAAGTAGTGATCTCAGGCCATTGCAACTCCCTTCGAAATTTTGTCTTTTTAATTAGGTATATTTTGTATTGCAGATTATAGAGACTTGCATTCCAAATATAAACGGTAGGATATCATGTCTGAACTTGAGGACGACGTCATCATTTTAGAGTCTGATGACGTGTTGTCGTTGAATCTGAAGTTTCGCGATCGGTTCAAGATGTTTCACGAAAATATTGATTTCGTATTGCGTAAAATACGAAGTTGTCAAGCTAACAAAATGAACAAGGATCGAAAGAATAACGAATATGCACATTTATTCCCTCTACTGAAAAAAAACCAAGACCAAATTTAAGCAATATTTAAGGATGAGTGGAAACTTTTCAATATATACTATCGAAAACGGAAAGTCACTTGACTAAAAATTGGTGCAATTTAATCTCTTAACCGATTCTCCCAGAGAAAAGACTAGTTTTAACGCTGAGGTAAGTATCGAAACTAAAAAATAATACTACTACGTAATTTATATTTACATACTATCGAAAACGGAAAGTCACTTGACTAAAAATTGGTGCAATTTAATCTCTCAACCGATTCTCCCAGAGGAAAGACTAGTTTTAACGCTTAGGTAAGTATCGAAACTAAAAAACAATACTACTACGTAATTTACATGTATTTACAGACAGATTTTTTGCTAATTTATAAATAAAAAAGATAAGTTTTATAGTTCCTAATATGATCAGTAAAAAAACGAATAAACTGTTACAAAACTTAAAAAATTTAAAAGCACATTCGTGGGGAATCAGGTGTGTCGTAGAAAAATTTTTTTTCAGCATAGAAACACTGAATTGATAAGAATCTTCTAGATTTGAGTAATTTTTGTAGTCACATATTTTGGGCTGGAAAACTTCTTTTCGTACGATGCATTTTTGTGTACGAAATGTATGTGCAATTATGTACGAAAGATTTTTATGCAATGTAAGAAAATAGATTTTTATTTAGATTTTTAATAATTTATGATATAATTTCTCGTAACTTATACGCATGTACAATGCATACATCACATTACTGACACATACCTGGAAGCAATAATGAAGTCTTAGAGCATCCATCCATCATTGCAAAAAATCCTATGTGTCCATAAAACGAAGTAACACATGCACATACATAGTGTTTTTAATTTATACTTTCAATAAAATGTGTTTTAGATTTCTTGCAACTGGATCGTCGTACAGTAATTTAGCCTTCTCTTTTCGCATGGGAGTGACAACTGTCAGTCGAATCGTCAACGAATGCATGAACGTTATCTGGATTGTTTTTGAACATGTGCACATGCCCAAACCCAATGTGCATAAGTTTTGGGAAATTTCCCAGCAGTTTTTTGAGAAGTGGCAATTTCCTCATTGCTTGGGAGCTCTTGATGGTCGACACTTGAGAATAAAAAAACCTGCTCACTCAGCGTCATTACACTATAATTATAAGAAATTTTTTTCAATTGTTCTGCAGGCCGTTGTAGATGCTAAATACAAATACATTTTCATTGATGTTGGCAATTACAGCCATCAAAGTGACCCTGGCACTTTTAGAGCATCGAATTTGTACAGAGCTCTTGTTCAAGGAAAATTAGAAATCCCCCCAGAAAGTCCTCTTCCTAATTCAAATATAATGTCACCCTTTTTTTTGTCAGCAATGGTGCTTACGCTTTAATGCCAAATGTGATGAAGCCATATCCTGGTCAAAACTTGTCTAGAGAACAAATTTTGTTTAACAAAAGACTGTCACGAGCTCGAGTAATTGTAGAGAATGCTTTTGGACATACGTGCCAAAAGTGGCGAATATTTTATACTACTATTCAGCAATCGCCAGATGTTGCATCTCTGATCGTCAAGTGCACTTGCTTACTACACAACATTTTAATCGATGTAGAAAAAGAAAATTTTTTGAATGAATAATCATCAGGTAATCATGAGTTTGTTCATACTAGTACTACAGAAAATGAATATGTTCTAGGATCTGCAGCTAAAGTGCGCGAAAATTTGAAAAATTATTTGGCTGCATGTTAAGTAAATGTTAAGTTATGTACAGTCATATAAATATATTATGTATTTGTACATTATTCTTGTACGTGTATGCGCCATTCCACAAAATATGGCGTATTATAAAAGCTAGAATGTACAAACGCTTAAAATAGACATTTTTGTTATTTTCTTTTCATTGGCAAGGTTTTCGTTTTAAAGCTGAGAGATTGGTTTTTTTCGTTCAGAAAAATCGGAAAAAGTTATTTATTTGTATTTAAAACTTTAGGAATACTTTTTAGTGATCTCAATTTTGTCATACCTTGAGCATAAAATGACTTTGATTATATATAGTATATTATCAGATCTTGTTTCACGATGTTGTAATTGACAGGAACACGAGATAGATTATTTTCGGTGGAATGACCCATAGAAATATATTTTTAACGTGCATGTACAGAGTTAATTAATAAAAAAGTGTATTGCTGATTCACAAGTACTGAGGTTTGTATTTATTTAATCCAACCAGTCAATTAAAAATTAGATAGAACTAACATTTTTGAATTGTAGCATGGACAATCATGTAATCAAGTTTGAAAGTAGATTCTAAAATTCAGTTGAAGACGTTTCTACTGTTGCTAAACGTTCTGGGCATAAGAAATGTGCAATGACAAACAAACGTACAATGAAAATGTTACAAA